GCTCTGGCATTCTCGTTGACCGCCCTTTTCTGTTGGGGGAACAAATACAATTCTTGTGGACAGGATAAGGGATTACCCTAATGGAGAGCAGGAGGCAAACAGCTGCTTCTTTTCAGAAACAACCCAGAATCCATTTCACCCAAAAGATTTCCAAATGTTAAGGGACATGATATACAAACCGCAATGTGATCGCATGAGATTGCGAGTTCTTCCGTTGCATACAGAAATTGATCAAATTTCTGAACCACAACATCCTTCACAATATGCGTGTTGACAAAAACTTGCACATGTGGTAAACTACTGTTTGCAGCAGTGCATCATGGGTACAACAAAGTTAGCTGGAGGGAGAAATAAGCGCTTTCAGGGGCCTCATGCATCAAAGGCTTTCAAAACACTATAATATTGTCTTAGAAATCAAAATGAACAGAAAACCACCATAACTAACAAACAGACATGATATCCTCTCCTGCCAAAATGTATTTGATAATTTGTTGAATATATATAGGATATGCACACTTGATGCTAATAAAACACCCACAAAATTGTGTAATTTCTGAGTCAAATTGTCCAGGTGTTTAACATACGTTGCTTAACCTTCATATTATGAATTTAATGCTCTTCTGTCCATTTCCATTCAACTACTGTAGTGACTCTGAAGAGAATCGACTTCACTGGAAACATCATTTCTGAGATTGAAGATGGTGCGTTTGCTAAGCTTACCATGCTAGAGGAGCTCTCGCTAGCTGAAAACCAGCTGGTCAAGTTACCAATGCTACCGGCAAAATTAGTCTCCTTCAATGCTAATCACAACAAACTAAAGACCAAAGGAATCAAGTCAAATGCTTTCAAGGTAAAGAGCCACAAATTACACTACCTGTTTGAAATCACTACAAGCCAACCCACAACCTTTTGTTTTTGGGCTTGCTACTTTTTTTTTTAGACGTTCTGAAGTGACTTTTTAAAAGCCTTAATTTCTAGAAAGAATACCTTTCCGAATCGAATTAAGCAAGACAAAAACAGCCTTATTTGTCAAAAGCCTTTTGCTCTTAAAATTCTGACTTAGAATACTGATCTTCTTCGCTTCCAGAAATTAAGCAAACTGGCACATCTGTATCTTGCTCATAATGAACTGGAGGCCGTTCCTCTCATTCCAGAGACTGTCCGCACACTTCACCTTCAGGTTAGGGAGTTGTTTTGCTTGCTAACATCGCACAAAAATCATACAACAATTATTACACAATCCACAATGTCTTGAAAGAACTCTAAACCTCTCTACTGCTGTGTTTTCAGAACAATAACATTTCAAGCATGACCGTGGACACCTTCTGCAAAAGTAACGACACATACTACATCCGCCCCAACATGAACGAGATCCGTATGGATAGAAATCCCGTCATCCTCGGCCAGTACCCCACCAGTTTCATATGCCTGCAGTCTCTGCCAATTGGGCGATACCAATGAAAACCGAATCAAAGGTACTCCACAGTGAGAAGTCCTTGGATAGCCAATGATGATGGCTAAAACCGAGAAGCAAAAGTCATTCAATCTCCTAGTGCCTGAGCACAGATGAGTGTATAAAAAGTTAATACCATGAGAATCTGTATTATATATCTAATTATGTAACAGCTGCCCAAACACTTAGATTTCCTTTTGATATTGACTTTGTAGATGAACCTAAACCACAAGTCTTTGAACTAATAACTTTATATCCATTGTAAATAACCAATGGAGGCTACTGCTTAGTAAAATGTGAGATCATGAAAAGCTGCAGTCAAGCTTCTAGTATTCTTCAGAACTCTGTGAATTTCTGACACTTTCTAGTACTGTTAAAATGTCTTACTTTGGCTGAAATTAAGATGCCTACTAAGTTAAATAGAGGGCGAGGAACTCATTCCAAGTTCCAAGTCACTGTTCTTTCCCAGCTGACTTTTACTTTAATATTTTGAATATTATTTATATGCTAAATTTGTAATTACTACCTATGTGTGAATTAAACATGAATAGACTGTACAGTAAAACATTGTATGAAATCAACATGTAATGTTCACTTTAGTTGTTCAAATACACTTTTTTTTTTTCTAAAACCTTGTGACTGGATTGCTTTTATCTTTTATAACAACTATGTCAGACAGCAGTTAAAGCAAAGGAAAAAATGCAGTTCCAAAAAGAGACCAAAACAACTGTCTGCAAATTGCAAACCAATCAAACCCAAAGATTGTGCATGCAGAAAGTTCTGGAAAAAGTGGGGTAATTTTGTTCCATTTAACTGGCCAAATTGGCAGCCATTACAGCACAATGGTCCAAGCGGAATGTTTTTCATACTGACTTGAAGGCTTCATTCCCAAACTTTCACTGCCATCGAGTCATGGAATTTGTTCCCAATCTGGCATTCAGCAATCTTTCTCATACTTATGAAAGTCTTATGATATGCACATATTAGGGGGAACTACGAATAAAAACCTTACAAGATGATAAATAAAAATGGAGAACTTAGTTATTCCAGGTAGAATCTTTGAAATTTATATTTTTCTAAGAAAATCTAAGAAACCAGGTGTCTTTGTTTTGGCTAGACATTGGTCTAAATAATCATATTCCTTCTATAACTTATTACAGTATTAAGTCCCCCTGTAGTCAAATTTTCTCTATTAAAACTCATCTTTGATCATCAAAATGACAATTTTAAATGTTTTTTTTCTTGTGAAAATTTTCTCATACCTTAAAATAGCTTGAATGTAACTCTACACCTAGTGTAGAGGAGCACGGAACGAGGAGACGCAGAGTCGAATTCAAACTTATAGACTTTAATAATACCCAGGGTAGGGCTGGACAATAATTCAATATCAATATGTATCGCGATATAATTATTTTCAATAACGGTGATATGATTTTTAAACACATTTCCGATATTTCGATATACATTACCAGTGTTTCCCATACATTGATGTATTTGTGGCGTTTGACTTCGTTGAATAAACATGAGCACTGCACGTTTCAAAATCAAAACGTGGTGCGGGTGTTTATATGAATGTATCTCTGAAGGTAACCGACTCTCTTCAGAAAAGTTACGATGACATTTTCATTTTATCTGATAAAGTAGCGTTCATGAGCGGAGCTGATTTGATTACAGCCGTTACTGGAGAAACCGCTAGTTCTACCGCTCTCAAAGCGCCTCCTGCTGGCAGACAATCAGTTTTTCAATTTTCAATAAGCCCGTCTCCAGCAACATGTTTTTGTTGTTGCTCTTTTTTTCTGCAGCAACTCAGAGCACTTTTCATATTCTTTATCCTGGCTGAAGCACATTTGTTTCAATCTATAACAATAATCAGCCACCCTACATTACAGTCAAAAGTTTTTGAACAGTAAGATTTAAAAAAATTTTTTTTTTAAGAATTCTCTTCTGCTCACCAAGTCTGCGTTTATTTGATCCAAAGTACAGCATTTTTTTCTAAAGTATTATATGGTTTTATATGAGGTGTCATAGACTTGGCAAATTCATTTTTCATAAGTTTGTATGCACAGACATCTGTTGTGGGCGTTCTTGGCAGTTTTTACAAGGCTTTTTAAAATAGTGTTCATATCGATATCGGAATTATATCGTATCGACCGAAATTAAGAAATATATCGTGATATAAATTTTGGCCATATCGTCCAGCCCTAACCCAGGGAAACACACGTAGCAAGGGTAGACATCAACAATTCCAAACGAGGGAGAACAGAACGGGCTAGAACTCAAACAGGACAGACAGGTGAAGAGGATAACTAATAACAAGGCACACCTGGAATAAATAGAACTAAATGGGGACAGGAACTGGAAGGATCAAATAAGGGCATAAAGAAACAGGAGGCAGGAACACAGGGAAAACAAAACAAAAACCGACCATAAACGTGACATTACGCTTGCCTCATTTACTCTACGCGGATCTATGAATACGCAAATTATCCCCGCCTCCACTGAGTTATACTAGCCAGGGCCTCCTGATCGACGGATAATGACTGATAAAACTATGTTTTTACACAGTGGATACTGCATAATTTGTTAAAGTTACTATTTGACAATGTTGTGTCCTCAAAATGCCTTGAAGACTCGAATACAGCCAAGTTTGTGATTCTAATTTGCCAATATGGGAGAGGTGCGTCTGACTCCGGGCTACTTTTACACTGTTGCGCGGGATATTATTCAAGTTAGCGGTTCTAAATTCACGTTAAACCATGGCTTCATTGGTTTTTTGCTCCATTTTATTTTTGGTTTTGTGCTGGTAATATTGGTATATTATACAGTGGGGGGGGGGGAGGCCACGTTTGTACAAATGGAGAGAGGGAGGCATAATACATCACTGCCACATTATCACGATAACACTGGCTAAATATTTGTGCAAATATCAAATTAGACACACTGTACTGATAAAACACAAGAAAAATAAACTTACTGGTTGATCTGCATGTTGGTTCTGCAAAAAATCTATCCCTTGACATGATTGGTAATTGAATTTTGTGACATAGCAAAAAAAAGGGCTGTTTCAAACCACGTTTATGGGACAGAGAAAATACTCAGCAATGGTGTTGATTAATGGATTGGCACAGGGTTTGTCTAAAAGCATATTAAAAACACCACACAGAGAAATAAACAACATAAAAATCTTGATTTTCACTACAGGGGGACTTTAACTTATTATATTACATGGCTTTTTGAAAGCTATAGGAACAAAAAAGCCAAAATAGCATTACTCAAAATGCTTAAATTGAATATAAACTTTACAAATAACAACAAAAGTCTGAATACTAAGCTGCAACCAACTGGACAAATGGCGCCACAACCAATCAGAGAAATTTAAGTCCCCAGAGTCCCCATTTTGGCAAGTTTGTGTGTAGCAGCCAGTGGAGTTTGATAAAAGTCACAATTGCTTTCATGATCAATCATCTCTGTCATTTCTCACTACTCAAGAATTGTGCCCATACATAGTTGGTTGAGGACCTTATTCCCTGCTTCTATTGCTGGTTACCTGAAAGTGCTGAAAAGTTTGACGCCTCTCCTCACATCTCTCAGAGAACGTCCTCAAGGTCCTGAAGAACAAGAGAAGATCTTTTGTGTCCTCCACTCTGCAAACAAAACAGTAGGTACATTAATACCCCAGAAAACCAATCACTGTTTTGCTCACTTTGGTAAATGATACATTCTAACTAGAGACTGTCGTATTTGATTATTTTATGAAAAACATGACAGAGAAATGCCCTCCTTAATGTAAAATTCAGCATACAATATAGAAGGATAAACTGTGTATTTGCGTTTAATCCCCTTCACAGGCTGACGTTACGAGACATTGTGAGATTTTCCATAGATTTACTAGGGGCCCAGAAACTGTGGCACAGGACACAACTTTCCATGACTCTCGAGTCTTGTCTGTGAAAGGCCAGTGTTGTAATGAGTGATGGAAAAATGGTAAGTCTCTCAAAACTAAATGGATCCACTCCAAGAGTAAAAGACAGCAGCTTAATGGCAAGAGCTGGAGAAAAGGCTCCCTGAGAATATCTAAACAGCAGACAATTAACGTACGCCTTACATTTTTTGGATTTGGGTGAGCTGAAAGTTTACAAACATTAATCAACCATCTGGTTTGACTGACGTCTAACGCTGTTTAAAAGAAACCACAGACAAATCACCCTCGCCGACGGATCTCATTTTGTAATGTGGGCAATTTCCATCGTATGTATTTTAGATTTGTTGATTGGGGACCTTGAATCTGAAAAAGTCATTATAAACCACGCTTTCCTAGAATGCTAACCTTTTAAGTTCGTTAGACTAAACATACTGAATGCCAGGATCGCTCTACAGACCGATTAATGGCAAATCAATGTTTGGCTCCTTTGTATAATTTCACTAAATTTGTCCCTTCAGTTTTTCTCATTTGCTTTGGCTGCCAAGAACCTGTGGCATGTACTAATATTAGACGTATAGGTTCCAAAAAACTAATGTATTATGTCTACCTGTGTGGTTGTGCTTCGTTTCAAACTTCACACTTGTCAAAAATCAAAACATCAACAACAGAACAAAAGTTGTAAACATGGCTATAGAGCATACAGTAATGATAGCACAAAAACTCAAAGGTTTAGCCCTTTAAAACTTTCTCCCCAGACATGCCTGAATCCACTTATATACCTGACCACAAGAGTGCTCAAAAAATTCTTCTTAAGTTTACATGAACCATAATGGTTATAAAATGCGTCTTCCTGAGACGCAGAGACAACTCAGACTTATGCGAGAATCATTATCTCCAGTATTTTTCCGACTCTCTCGTGCCAGGACAGACTCTCAGACCAGACAATATGATCCAGATGTACATTCAGCGACCAGGAGGCTGGCTGCACTTTAGAAACAGACCCAAACAAATTGCCGCCAAAACAGCAGCATTACTTCAAACTGTAACTTGTCATCCCAGCCAAAAACTCCTGCGACTAAGTGGAACAACTGTAGGAGATCTTATATTATGTCTTCAGAAAACAAAACTCTGAAATTTAAACAAATTCATTAGTAATTCAATCATATAAGTCTAATGCATTCACATTTAAAGTAATATTAAATAGATTGAGAGATCTACAGTGGTAACCAGAGGGTTGTTGGTTTGAATATCTGGATAAAAAGATGAATAATGGGTAATGGGATAGTGGTAATGGGATAGTTTACCTAAAAATGAAAATTACCCCATGATTTACTCATCCTCAAGCCATCCTAGGTCTATATGACTTTCTTCATTTAGATGAATACAATCAGAGTTATATTAAAAAATGTCCTGGCTCTTCCACGCTTTATAATGGCAGTCAATGGCTGTTGATATTCAATAGTCTAATAGAAGTCCAATAAAGTGCATCCATCCGTTATAAAAAAAAGTACTCCACATGGCTCTGGGGGGTTAATAAATGCCTTCTGAAGTGAAACAATATGTTTGTGTAAGAAAAATATCCATATTTAAAACTTTATAAACCATAATCTCTAGCTTCCGCTAACTGTCATACATGTTCACAAGAGTGTGGCGTTCCAGCAGATGGCGTAGGATGCAGGCGTAGCATAAGCTCCGTGAGAATATGCTAGTCTTGCGAGAACCAAGTTTTGTTTACAGGAGCAAAGGAGGCTTTGTTTAGAAAAGGAAAACAAGTCTCCTCTTAGCTTGTATCAAAATCCTCTGACATTTTTCTTTACAAATCTTCATTTTGTGTTTTGTTTTGCTCTCCTCTGTGCTTCTGCGTTCAGCACTTCTCATTGGAGCCTACGCTACACCAATGTCCTACATCATCCACTGGAACGCCACTTTATTGGACTTCTGTTGAACTATTGAATATCAACAGCCATTCACTGTCATTATAAAGCTTGAAAGAGCCAGGACATTGTTTTACCATAACTCAGATTATATTCGTCTGAAAGAAGAAAGTCATATACACCTAGGATGGCTCGAGGTTGAGTAAATCATAGGGTAATTTTCATTTTTGGGTGAACTATCTCTTTAACAGCTACCAAGTACCATAAAGCTACACATAATGTATGACATGAAAGGATAAACCTAGCAGCTGGATGACAAATTGACCATAAGCATGAATCTTTCCCACTAGAAGTCACAGGTTCAGACCTCAGCTCTCTTATTTCTTCAAGTATATAGCAAGTATGCTGTACAACACATAATCTAAATAACCTAACCTTCTAATTATCTCAGCTGTGTTCTCTGTGGATTGCTGGAAATGTCAACATCAAAAGGTGTTACTTTAATGAGAAGTGTTGTGCTGTACTTGCTCAAGTAATAATAGAAGACAGAACTGTGCTTACACTGTGTTTACACTATAAACCAACATATAAACCAAATAAATCTATAGGACAACAATGGCTTTTAATCCCTGAGGTGTCTGGTGGAGTTGTACAGACTGTCCTGCCTTACACAATCCAGAGTGACCTACAGGTGGTCCACATGTTCACTTTTTACAGTGCACACACTGTGGGGTGCTGTTGGCTGTCAATGACTTGCTGGTGCCATTTGTTGACAGTTTAATGAGCGGGACATGTTACGGACTGTCACCACAGCACTTTTAAACATTAAATCCACACATCATTATGTTGGGTGCAGTGTTCTTCTGGACTTAAATGACTGAATCTCATTACAGCACAAGCAGAGCAACCGTCTATAGCTTGCCTTGAAGCTGCTCTGTAGGAGCTTTACCACAAAAATAAAACAAAACAGAATGGAACAGAACAAAAATACAATAAAACAGAACAGAATACAGCAACAGAAGACAATACAATAGAACAAAGCAGTACAGACACAACAGAACAGAGAGAACCCAAATCATACAATATAGAACTGAGAGAACCAATCATAAAATAACAGAAACAAAACAAAACAGAAAAGTCCAGAAAACATCCCAACAGAAAAAACAGAATAAAACAGAGCAAAACAGAACAGACTAAAGAGCAGAATAGAATAGAATAGAAGACAGAAATTTGTAAAAACAGAACAGAAAAATCACAGCAGAATTGAACATAACTGGACAGAACAGAATAAGGCAGCATAAAACACAACAGAACAGAATGCAACGGAACAACAAGAAACACAACAAAACAGAGTACTACAAAAAAAACAATAAAACAGGACATACAAAAATTTAATAGAATAAAATTGAATATAGCAGAAAATATAATACAACAAAGAAAAAAGAATAAACAGAATACAACAGAACAGAACCGAGAACAACAGAATAGAGCACAACAGAACAGAACTTCATACAATAGAACAGAACGCGATAGAATTAAATCTTTCACAAATGATCTTCCTTCAAAGATGAAGCTACCACAGATATGGACCACATGACTAATGATCAGAGACATTTATTTGTTAATTTGGCCTGGACCATGAATAAACAAATCCTTCAGCTGCAAGTATAACAGAAACCCCTCAAACATATAAACAAAGCCCTTATTTGGCTAACAATGGAATATTTTTGAGGTTATATTGCATTTTGCTTGAACGCTGCCTCATATGAAAGATTCTCAAGAGTACATTGCCGTCAGTCAATCAGCCAGCAGCGGGATCTAACCTGATCTCTCTCAACACTTCTGCGGGAACTCTCCCACATTGCGATGACAAAAGCTGGTCAGTGTTCACTCAGCATCTTGCTAATGAGCCACACAGATACATTTCCCTTGTATGGAGTTTTGTTTGGATTTGTATCTTTTTACAAGACTAACATAAAGCAGAATGCTCTTCTTTGTTCTATAGTCTCTGGGAATTCAATTGCCTGATGTTTATTTACACTGTAGGTTTTATGTTGTGTAACCCTATTGCGCAACCTGGATTTTCTCCTAATGGGATTTCTGTTGATTCAATTATGCAAACAAGCAAGATACATCTTTTTGTGAAGAGTACAAATCATCCATGGAATCTGCTTACCTTTAAAAATAAATGTACAAAATAATTGCATTAAAGGAATAGTTTACTCACCCTCAGGCCATGCAAGATGCAGAAGAGTTTTTCTTTAGAACAGATTTGGAGAAATTTAGCAGTTTTACCAATGGATCCTCTGTAGTGAATGGGTGCCATCAGAATGAGAGTCCAAACAGCTGATCAAAACATAATAATCCACAGGTAATTAACAGGACTCCCGGTAATTAGTTAACGTCTTGTGAAGCCCATACATTGATTTATTTGTGGCGACCTGCCACAATTTCAACACTGGCCGCCACAAATAGATTTTCCAAAAGGCTTTGAATTAATTGAGTAAACATGAGCACAGCACGTTTCAAAGTTAAAAATGTGGCGTGGGTGTTTTTATATGAATGTATCTTTGAAAGGAACCGACTCTCTTCAGAAAAGTTTAGATGCCATTTTAATTTCATCTCTCCTATTATGCTTGATAAAGTAGCTTTGGCAGTGCTGTTCTGTGTACAGCCATTACCAGGGAAACCGCTGTATTTCTACCACCAGAAGCGCCACCTGCTGGCAGAGAATGAATTTGCATTTTCAATATGCCCATCTGCTATTTTATATTTACATTATATACATACAGTGCACAGCATAAATGAGTACACCCCCTCTGATTAAATATAAAAGATGTATTTTCTTAATGATCACTAATATAATTCATAGAAAGATGGCAATATTGAAATGTATTAAACATATTCTTGATAAAAACAGAGAAATGCATGCCATTAATATCTGTAAAATAAGAAATTGATCCAATTTTTGTTTAAATGAAGGATTGCAGAATTGAGTACAACCTAGATTTAATTCAACCAAGTGTGATATTCTAGAACTTAATATGTCCTCCAGAACTAGGTACACTGTTCTGACACTTCTTGGCACTGAGTGTACAAGTTCATGACAAATTTTCACATCTGTGCTGTTTAACTCCTGGAGGACGACGTCCTTACATGCCCTGGTCTTTAATGGGATAGTGTTGCTCAGCTCGTCTCTACAGAATCTCTCACAGCAGCTCAAGAGTGTTAAGACTGAGTGAAATACATGTCCACTGAAGGATTTTCAGCTCAGGAGAATGAATATCTTCATTGTCATGTTAAAAAAAAAGCCCAACAATGCAGGCAATAAGAAGAGGGTAGCATCTTCAGTTTCAGGTTTTTGTATTACATCACACAGTGGTGTGTGAATTCATG